GGTGGTTGGCCCACACAACCCTGCAGTCTCCTTGTAAACTATGTTAATCCGTAAGCGTGTTCCGAGGACATGTTTGGAGAAGGAAGCTATCTGTTTGATCCTGCCCTCTCACAGGCCGTGGCCCAGAGCCTACCAGTCCTTCACAGATCACGGCAGAGATCGAAGTGCTGTCCACTCTGAACCTGTTTTCCACAGTAGTAGCGTGAGAGCTGCAGAGCATGACAACAAGAAACCAAAGGAAAATCTGACAACTAGACAGAAGAGCCTTAAACTCCCTCTTCTGTCTGCATCTCCCCTTCAAATGAGCTTTGGGGGACTCCAGAAGTCAAAACACCAACTGCATCTAGTGACTGACTGTGGATGAAGTCCTTAAAATGTGCATGATCACTTACACAGATGACACCTGGACCAGGGCATGGGTGTTTGCCTCTGAATCATCTGAGCTCAGGAAATCAAGTCAACTAATTTCTCCTGGATAGATGCAGGGTGGGTTCTCAAACCAGCAGGGCCCTGGGTCACTGCTCTGGATGATACAGTCCACAAATATGGGCTGTGCTAATATGCAAGATATGCACCGTGGAAGATTCTTGTATTAAAGAGATCTCAGTTGTTGCTTCCAACTGGAATAACCACAAAACTACAACTAATACAAAATTAAATGTGGTGTAACTAATACATCCCAGATACTGTTTGCCTTAACTTCGATGATACTCTGGGCAAACACAGAAGGAAGGGAAGGCAAAGGAAGAGGCTGTTCCTCTTCCTTTGATTCATTCAATGCTCCCTGGAGGAAAGAAGAGCTAGGGAAGGCAGACACAAGCATTCTAAACTACTAGGTTTTCCCGCAACCTAGAGAAAAATATTTGCTTAAAATTAGCTGCATTCCCTTTGCTCCAATTCTCTGCTTACCCAGCAACCATCTGACTGTTAATTAAATTGGCATTATGGTTTTAAAATGAATCTTTTATTATATACCTCCCATTAATCCAACCCCCTAGGACGTATTCACCTCAAGGGGAGCAGACAAAATTGAATTCATTAATGCTGTCATTTCCCTCACAACCCCTGCCCCACCACTGTGAGGTCCAATCCAACCTGGCTCTCCAAATCTCTCTTCCAGCTAATCCATTTACTCACAAGAGTATTAGTGAGCACCTCCACATCAACAGAATACTGCTTAGCCCTTTGGCGCACTTGCTCAGAACACAAATGAAGAAGAAATAACTTATCCGTGATACAAAAAATTGTAGTTTGTTTTGAAAGGGCTATTACAAGGGGAAAAGGCAGATGAATCTTACATGAAGAGCAGTCTGAGTCAGTTGTTCATTAACTCCCGCATATTCTCTAGTAGGAGAAGGACTGTTATCATCAAATTAGTCTTTCTCACCTCAAACATTTAGGCTACAGACCGTTGGCTGAAATGTGAAGACAAACCATGCAAAGACATAAATTTGCAGCTTAAATGTTTCAAAAATCCTCCTTTTGCTTTCTAGCTCTGGATCTTCACTGCTGCTCGGATTGCCCTCGACATCCAGTCTCGGTAGCATCTTCTTAGGACTCCAGGAACATGGTGACCCCTGACCCTCATTCATCCCAGTCTGTGGAGCCCATGTGTCCATCCTGGAGGAGAGATTACACAAAGTCAAAGAAACACAGCAAAGCAAAGCCACTTATCTTTGGAACCCAGTGTTTTTCACTCCAACCTCTCCAGCACAAGTGCCTCGCACACTGATTTCTCCTGTGTGTGTCATTTTTTTGTTTGTTTGTTTTTTTGTTTTTTTGGTTTTTCTCCGGTACCGGGAACCGAACTCACGACCTTGCGCTTGCCAGGCAAGCGCTTTTGCCGCTGAGCTAAATCCCCAGCCCCTGTGTGTGTCATTAACATTTGTTCCATGCAAGCATTCCTTCAGCAAAGCATGCATCCAGTTCTTTTTCTGGTCTTCCTTGCTGCCTTCACCTTGCCCTTCTCTCACCTGAAACACTGCAAGCCTCCTCTCCAGCAGCATTTGTACTTTGACTCCAGACTGCATTCGATTTTTGGCCCTTTGCCCATATTTTCTCTTTTGTATTAAAAATAACCTCTATCTCTGTAAGGTTTATCAGTGGTCTTTGCATCAGATTCAGGGTCCTCCCTGTACTCTGCACTGCCCCATTTTCTCTCGTCTCCTTGTCTGGTTCAAATTCCCATTTTATTAATGATTTCCAGATCAGTGACAGTTGAGAAAGCCACCCAGTCAAAGTGTTCCAGGGCAGATGGCTTGGAAGTTACCCTAAGTCCTGACTTACGGAATCAGCTGTTAAGTAGTGTCAGTGGGATGGGGTGGTGAGATGGGATTAACAGGATGAGACGGACCGGAGATAAACCTGAGTACCCGCATTTAAGTTAAAACTGATAATTGAGCAAAGCACAGGACGGTGAACGCCCTGTGGTTAGTTTTCATCACTGTGAGCCACAGATCACAGTGGGTAATGTGCTGATGAGGGAGCATCACCACAGTCAGTCAGGAATGCACTCAGGGTGCCACTTCCGCGGGAGGGCGCCTCTACCAAGAAAGGCCACAGTCTCCCTGTCCTGTGGATTGATCTCATTTTATCTGGAGCATGGTGTGTCCCTTTTGGTGAATCACATTTGAAGAGGAACATTGACCAATGGGAAGATGTCAGAGGATGAAGCTCTGGGTAGTAAAGATGCCAGGAACTTTGTCTGCAGAGGGATCATCCAAAGAGGTAGGGATGTCTATTTGGCAAGGAGAAAATAAGCTGTCATTCACTACTTAGATGACTGTCAGGAGACCGGAAATCACTAACTGAAAATTTCAAGGGGCTGGCCAGGAGCATGGAAGAGAAAAACAGGACATGTGTTTTTTAAAAAAGAGGACAAAAAAAGCTCAACTACGCGAGTGCCCCCAGAAAAGTTACCTGGCGTCGCTTAGCAAACGACATCGCTGATTGTCGTCATGTGAATGTGGGCCAACTGCTGCCATCTCTTCTGATTCGTCAAGACAAGCCAGAAAGCCAGATTTTTATGCAACATGTCCCGATTTTAATTTTAGCAATTATGTCAAGCTGTTTAAAGCAACGCTGTTGTCTATGGGCAGGTAGCAGCTCGGGGCTGCCAGTTCACAAGGTCGGTAGGTGATAATTCTTGGTATCAGCAGAGTATAGTGCTAAAATGCACAGATGGAAGACTTTGCTGCATTATGAAGGAATTATCAAATGTTTAGAATTCATAGTCAGAGAACATGCTTTCTAGCCAGGTTCTGAGTAATAGGAAATAATCAAGACAATCAATATTAAATGACAACGTATGAGAGAGATGCTAGAGAAAGAATTTCCTCCTTAGGCATAGATGTTGAATCAAATCATATATTACCATTATAGGTTTTTTTGGTTTTTTGTTTTGTTTTTTTTTTCTTTTTGAGACAGTGTCTCACTATGCAATTCAGGCTGGCCTTGAACCCACTTTGTAGCCCAAGTGGGCCATGAGCTCACAGCGATCCTCCTACCTCAGCCTCCCTAGTGCTGAGATTACAGGCATGCACCACCACACTTGGCTATCATTATATTTTTATAGTAAAATAGTGGTTTATTGTTTATAAAATGCTTTTATACCATGTCATGATAATTATTAGAACAATTCTTCAAAGTACAAAAGTATTTCTATTTTCCAAATGAGTCATCAGAGTATCCGAGATATTAAAAAACTCAAAGAATAATCCAGGAAGTCAAGCAGCAGACCTAGGACCAGATGACTCAGGGCCTCTAGCTCCAGAGTCAAGTTCTTTCCTCAGCACTTCATAGGCGTAGGATTCCATTCCAAGTTGTGCTCTCAACTGGATTTCTTTTATCCTTCCCAAAGACAATCCACTCTCTTGGAGTCTCTTCCTGCACATTTCCGTGGCCTGAGCCTTTCTGTTCTTTTCTTGCCTCCCTGGAAGCTCTTATCCTTGACGATTTCTGGTTGAATTTCTTCTAACCGGACTCTGTCAGCTACAAGAATGTCCCCTCAACTCTCAGTGCTCCAAACTGGTCACACCCTTGACATGTATCTGTCCAAAAGATTTGCTTCTTCATTACATCTTTTATAAATTTGTTTCTGTAAAGACAAAAACTTGCTTCACTTATCCATAAACAAAGCCATGCACACACATACACATACATGTGGAGTTGGTACTTTATTAAATCATCAAATTATTATAATTTCTGGACTTGTAAACCCACCAGGAGGAAGGGATGTTGTCAAACATGGTTTCTAGTTCTCCCCATCTCTACTTCCTTCCACAAATTTTGATTCTGATGAAAGCCTTGTTCCTGCTTGCCCAGTGAGGAGACACAGTAAAGAAGATTTGGTTTTCTTTATTATTTCAGGTTCACCAATTTGAAATGTGCAATTATTCCTCAGCTTGAGCCGAACTTTTCCCCTTACATATACTCATATGCACTTAAAACACAGAGAACGTGCTAAGAAAAACTTCCAAATGACATAGTTTGGCTAAAACAGGCTTTTTAAAATGAAGCAGTGCAAGGGTTTCCCTTGACGGTTCACGGACATAGATCGAGCGCCATGACATTGTCTAATACACTGTATTTAAACCTGTACAGCCAAATGTCATTTAACATGAAATACATTATTGCAGCTTGTACTTATCATCTACAATGAAAGACAGAAATTGTATAGAGCATGGGAAACATGCACAGAAGTAGGTAAAGGGGGAAAAGAATCTCAAGAACGCTACTGCCTGCAGCCAAGCAGGAGAGCTCTTCTGTTTTGTTTGGGTTGTTTTGTTTTGGTGATCTAGCTGGTCAAATGACCGGGCAAGAATATTTCATAGAGCTAATACTCTGATGCTTTAATCTCCCTAGGCAAGGTTCATATTTGTGTGGGTTACTTATTCTCTCTTTGTTGACCAAGTCAATAATCAGAATCAGCAGGTTTGGAGTCAAATTGGCAGGGATCAGCAGCCTGGTTTGGGGGAAGAGAGTATAAAATCCCCCAACCTGGAAGCGGCCCTCACAGAAGTCCACTAGTTCCTGGCAGGATGGCCTCTCATCGTCTGCTTCTCCTCTGCCTTGCTGGACTGGTATTGGCGTCTGAGGCTGATCCTGTGGTGAGTGTTTGATTCTTTAAAGTCCCTGTTATGGAATGCAGATGTACATTAGGTGACAAAGGAGTGACTTCCAGCTTTAGCAACTTCTGCTGGTAGGGCCCTTCTACTGAGCAGAGAAACTCATTAACTGTCAACACTTATGTGATTGGTAATGGGATCAGCATGCACTTCCAGATTTGTTCCAGATTCTTAATACCATTGATTCAAACTTTGAAAAGAATGAGTTTGATAAACGAGCTTGGAGTCAGGGTTTTTTGCCTTGTTGCTTTGATACATTGAGTCTGCAATGCCTAGTGCCTTGATATGTTCAGACAGATGTCAGAAATACAGACATGCTATCAACGAGGCTGTTAAAAGTTGAATTGAATTTCATAAAAGTATCCTTCGATGAGATATATTTAGAAGACAAACTGCATAGATTACATGGGACCTTTGGCTAATCAAAATAGAAACACTGATTGATATTTGTTGGCAAACAACATTCCGGTCAGATAGCTGATTCTTAAGTCTTCTAGAAGAATTAACTAATGCTATAAGATGGGTAAGAAAAGTAGTCTGATATTATTTTACAACAACTAGTAAGAGGGGATTACTACACTAACAACTTTTAAGAACAATCTCAGGAAAAATTATTTGGTTTTACAACAGTGAATCTTTTCAGTAATTCCACTCAAATGGAGAGGTTGAACAAAGCAACTGTTCTCAGAGGGCCTATTTTCTCCTTTGAAATTCATTGCAAGCAGCCCCGGTCAATCAATAGCAATATATCTGGAGGCAGAAACCATTCTTGCTTTGGAAACAATTATGTCTGTGTTATACTGAGTGGGGAAGCTCATTAATTATCAGCTCTTACCTTACTGGTAATGGGATCAGCATGCACTTCTGGCGTTGTTCCAGATTCTTAACACCACAAAGAATAAGTCCTTTCACTCTGATCAATTTTGTTGACTTCTTACTTGTCCTGTCTGTACGCAGGGCACTGGTGAAGCCAAGTGTCCTCTGATGGTCAAAGTCCTAGATGCCGTCCGAGGCAGTCCTGCTGTCGGTGTAGTTGTGAAAGTGTTCAAAAAGGGTGCTGATGACACCTGGGAGCCATTTGCCACTGGGTAAGCTGCGGAGGAACCCCGCTGTGGGACTTGATTATATCTTCCCACCCATTCTTCCAGTTGTTAGGGAGAGATTCACATCATCTACTAAAGCCTCTACAGGCAGAGGGTTGGGGTGTAGCTCAGGGGTGGAGCACTTGCTTAGCATGCACAAAGCCCTGGGTTCAGTCCCCAGCACTGCAAAAAACTAACAAATGCAGTCAAACCAAAATCCCAAGAAGGGATTGGTATTATTATTAGTAGATTGAAAATGTGAGAAGAGGTTAACTGCACCCTTAGAAGAATCCCTTCTTCTTGCGTTTCTTAGCTGGGAGGGACCAAGAACTGCAGTGCTATTTTGGACAGATGGTAGGAAAAAGTGAGAGGGGTGAGAAACACCATAGTCCACTCAAGCAGGAGTTGGCGACCCTTCCAGGTCACAAACCGCTTGAAGAAGGTGATGAAAATGGTAGCTTCCATGTCCAGAAAAATGCACATAGACACAAGCATACAAAAACATAAATGTGATTTCAGGAGTTTCACAGATTCCCTGATGCTCCTGGGTGAAGCATTCTTAGAATTCTTAGAATTTTAGGAAGGATGTACAGTGTGTTAATTTAGTAACAAAAGGAAAGGAATTGAGGGACAGCACTGACAGGTCACTAGAATTTATTTGGATCACCCAGAATCCAGAGCTTTTGTCTAATAAACGCGCTGCAGCACGTGATATGCATAAGAGTGGCGGCTGCCAAGTTTAGTAAGAAAAAACACCGAAGAGAACAACGTGGAAGGCAGAGTCCAGCCACCCATGATCTTGCATCACCCACCTAAGTGCAAAGATGACTTCTCACCTTCACTGGTCACCTTAAAATTCTCATGGAGGTTTTCTAACTACCTGCAAAAACTTTAAAGGAAATGCATATTAGTGAAGCTAAATAAACTACCTGAAAGGAAAAGCAACAGGAAAAGCCCCTCAGTACTAAGCAGAAGAGGAAGTGCTAAACATTTATGCCTCCTGGGAGAATTTCTGCTGGATTTTTATCACATCCTCAGAACCATGTGATGAGTCATCACCTATCATAGGGAAGATCATTTTTCTTGGAGGTGGGTTAACTGGAGTTTTTATTTGCTAATTCACTATGATTATATAAAATACCAGGCACAACATGAAAAATGCTTGAGGGAGTTTTTTAAATGGGAGATAGAATAAACACCAAAAAACTCAAAGGTTCTTGTGAATCTTTTCTCTTGTAAAAAAGACGCACATAAAAGGAGGAAGCAAAAAGAAGAAATGAGGGCAGGCATGGTCAGAATGACTCAAGAAAACTTTCACTTTTATTTGTCTTAGCGTTTACAGTTTAAAGGGGAGCAATTTCCAACTTTTCAGCTATTGGCCTGGTCCCTACATGGAAATGGAAGTTACCTGGTATTTTTTGTTGGCAAAGAAATACCAAACAGATTAAATACATCAAAGGAAAAAAGAGTCAGAAGCAGGTTCTTCTTTGTACTTTAGGTTTTCTACTCTGGGGATAACTGATACAATCTCTGAGATATTCGCTCAGGTCACATGTTCCAGGACTGAGACTCTGCACACGGAGAACTGCACAGTTACTGCAGCTTCTGGCCACTTCTGGATTCATGAACATTCATCCAGTCACCAATCCTGAATCCCTGTTGTCTTGGTTTTGGTGCTGAGGATGTAACCCAGGGCTTTATGTATGCAGGCCAAGAACCATCCTGCTGAGCCATACCTCCAGGGTCGGGGCTCTCACTTATTTATTTGTTTATTTATTTATTTATTTATTTATTTGTTTGTTTGTTTGTTTATTCAAGACAAGTTCTGGCATGTAATTCGGGCTGGTTTTGAACTCATTGTGCAGCCCAGGCTGTCTTCGAACTTGTAGCAATCCTTCTGCATCAGCCTCCAGAGTGCTGACACAGAAGGATTGCATTCATCACCACATTGGGCAGGACTTTTTAAAGTAAACATTACACTTGTATTTTGTTCTCGTAAGAGTATAAATCTACAATGAAGTTTTCAAAAAGTTTCTACAAATTTCTTGCCCTTTCGTGTCAAAAAGGTACTAGAGTTTTCCCCCTCCTTACTTGATGGGGTGATGAATTTAGATAGATGATAGATAGATTAGATAGATAGATAGATAGAGATAGATAGATAGACGGTAGATAGATGGTAGATAGATGATATTTGATAGGTAGCTGGATACAGATATAGATCTCACACGCAAATGCATACACACCCTTTGCCATGCCATCTATTCCTTTCCTGCGTAACTTAGCCTGGACTTTTACACCTTGTAGGAAAACTGGTGAAACTGGAGAGCTGCACGGGCTCACAACCGACAAGGACTTTGTAGAAGCGATGTACAAAGTGGAATTAGATACCAAGTCCTACTGGACGGCACTTGGCATTTCCCCATTCCATGAACATGCGGAGGTGAGTGTCCAGCCCCTTGAGAGTTGTTCCGGGTTTCGTTTTCGGTTCCAGGAAGCGAAGTTTGCTGTCAGCAGACCACAGCAATGTCATAAGGAAAGTGCTAAAAGGCACTGGTTTCCTCTCCCATCCCAAATTAGAAATTGACAGCACTCAGAAGGAAATCTTCAGAACTTGTGTAGGCTATTTGTAACAAAAGAGAGGATGTACCATGTTACTTCCCTAAAACCAGAAAAATTCTTCAATCCAAGCACCTCTGGCCCCCTCAGTTTTAGATAAGCAATTCTTGGCAATGCACATAAAGACAATCAATTCAAAGCAACAATGCAATTGATAAATCCACCAGGTGTATGTTGTGGGACACACACTAGGGTAAGTGTTTTCTGTCTGTCTTTAACCCACCCATTCCATCCTCATGATCCACCCACTGGGATCAGTGCTATTATTATCCCCATTTCACAGACAAAGAAAATGGGGCTTGGTGAAATTAAATAACATGTCCAAGGTCCTGCAGCTCATAGCTACAGGAGCTGGAGGATTTACTACCAGAGCCCAGGCTGGGTTTGGCTTGAGTGCTGCAGTACCTTCCAGAACTCTTGGGAAGAGTTTTTCCCTGCAAGAAGATGGTGGGGGCATATTTGTAAACTTTAGTTTATCCCTATTTTGCTTCCCCCCCCCTCCGCCCGGTACTGGGAATCGAACTCACAACCTTGCACTTGCCAGGCAGGTGCTGTGCCGCTAGCTAAATCCTCAGCCCCAATCCCTGTTTTTCTACTTATAAGTATTCTCAAACAGTTATCCCTGGTTCCTCCTTGTCTTAATCTCCCAAGTCATTTAAAGCAGATGGCAGTCATGAAAATAGAATCCGGATATGTTGGTCAGTGTTAAAGATCAACCAATTCCATCAAAAATAACTTGGCATGAAAGGGAACTATTCTCTCTGGCTTAGTCATGGAGGAGACTTGTAATTAACATTTTGCATTCTTTGCGTAGACAACGTTACCAGGGCAACTCTAGGGGCCCACTTAACTTCTGGGGCCCACAAGTCTCTAGTGGGGATCCCATCGACCGAGAAGCCTGTCTCTGCCTTAGTCAGGCTGTCAAAGACTGAGGCACCGGGGCAGGCGCAAGGTTTAGGTGGGGACCACCCAAGACACCCTCAGCCCCGACCTCAGAGCTCTACATATGCCTCCCTAGGACCAGTCTGCCCTGGGTCTCGCCCTGCTGGGCCCACTGAACACAAAACCCCTGGTTGTCCTGTTCCATTTCTTTGCTTGTCAGCTTCCTTATCCACTAGTCACGCTTGTAGTATTCACCAGAAGTAAAACACAGATTCAGAAGTGAAAACACCCATCCCTGCCCTTGGAATGGAAGGGCAAGGGATAAGTCAGATATACCAGGCAGAGCCATGAGCCCAATTTACAGCTGGAATGGATATGGTAGCAAGAAAGAGTGAGGAGGGAAGCATGTAGCCCACTGTCTCACTCAGAGGACCCGGGTGTGTGTGGCACCTTCAGCCAGAGAGCCGCAGTCATGTAGAGCCATCCACCCGCTCCTGGCCATGACCTAGGAGGTTAAATGAAACCTGAGGAAAATTAGAACATTTCCTTTGAAACTATTAGGCCTCTTTGCTTCATGCATTTGTGATCACATGGGTGTCTTTCATAACAGGAGGAAGAATCAAGTGGGCCTAGAGGCCAAAACCCCAAAAGAAATAAGAAACTTTCCCTGGTTGTTTCCAGGCACTTTGGCCTTGATGAGTCGCCTTTCTCCTTGGAGATTCTTAGGCAATTCCCATCTCCTCTCGCCCAGGCGTTGTTCTTTTATGGATCACTCAGATCTTTTGTTCTCATGTCCCTAAATCATCAGGTTTCCTTTTTCCATATTTGGAACAAAAGCTATTTATCCAGAGTGTATCCAAAGCTCCAGCCAGGACCTGTACACAAAATGCAATTATGCACGTTCTCCCTGCCCTCCATCCCTCTCCTGCACCAAATTTTTGTCTACTTGTCTCCCTCCAGGCCCTTAGACTACCCCAGCACCTCAGTCTCAGATGCGCCACCAAATTTGAGAAGTACAAGAATAATTAACGGCAACACCTTGCTCCACTGTTTGCCCAATCGATAGGCTTAAGCGAGCCCCAAAGCAGGGGTGCACATTTCAAAATTCCAACCTGATCTTGCACGGACTGCTTGTCTTGTAACCAGAGCCCCATAATGCTGTTACTGCATGTTTCATTGCCTGGAATATACCAAACCAAACGCACAAAAAAAGAGTATCTTCTTCATGTTAGAAAACACAAAGGAACAGTGGGTAAAGACTTCCTTTCCCGGCGTGGCTCTGTCACTGTATAAACTTGTAAGAAAGTTAATTCAGAAATGTGGTTTGCTTCTCAGTAAATGGGAGGAACGGACCCTTCCTGTTCCAAAATTCTAAGGCTCAAAGCCTTCAGTGGGATTGGCGGTCGCCATTCTCAGCAGGTCTTTGGTCACTGGACGCCACTGTTTACCTTCTCCCCACCTTTTCTGAAACCAAGAACGTGGACAGGAGCCTTCAAGCTCTCTGTAACTGCCCTCAGTCATGCCGTAACCGCCCAGTCTGCTTGAGTGAATTTGTAAAATCAGACAGTGGAGGAAGACTCGTCTCTAACAATGCCACAAGGCTTCAAAGGCTTAGCTTGCCAGTGTATTTGAATTTGTGTTTCTCGTTCTCATTGTTCCCAAAGAAATTAAATAAGAAAATAGGAATAATGAATTTGCACTGGACTTCCAGCGGCCTCTCTGCCCGCCTATCTCTAGACTCCTGCTCGGGCTCTGTCGGAGATGGTTCTGTCTGTCCTCTCTCCTAGGTGGTGTTCACGGCGAACGACTCCGGCCGCCGCCACTACACCATCGCGGCCCTGCTCAGCCCCTACTCGTACTCCACCACCGCAGTGGTCACCAACCCCAAGGAGTGAGGGGCTGGGAGGAGGCCTGGGCCGCGCGTAACCAACAGCATTCCATTTTTACGAAAGCAGTATCCTCATCGATAAGCTACGTTAGAAACTCAGGAAGACACGTTAAGACATTCCTATTAAAGCATGTCTCATTCCATTGGATCTTGGTGTTTCTTTATTCCCTCTCTCCTCCCTCCAAAAAGCACAGATTTTACAGAGAAACGTAAGAATTCTATAAAGTCTCTGGCTGGAACTCGGAGAGATCCACACTTCCCACAGCTGGCCAGCCAGACATCCTAAGCATGGAAAACATGAGAAACAAGAAAGCTTGATTTCCCTGTAGCTTTCTGTGAATAGCCAAAGGCAAATGGTAGCGCCCCACTTTTTTACTCTGGCCATTTCTTTTACTGCCTTACCGATTTCAAGAGTAGCACAGCCCTAAGGGGATATATTGGCAGCAACCCAGGTTCTCTGCTAAAATTAAGACCAACTCCAGCAGCCATGAACCAAGTAAAAGACACGACCACAAAGCCCTCACACACCCAATGGCTCAGAGTGACCCAAAATCCGTGTATGGAAAGCTAGTATATCTCAGGCACTGCTCGAGGTGCTCCAAACATCAAGAGCTGGCCCGAGTGCCCGCCTTTATTTAAAGAGCTCACCACCTCTGGGGAAGATAACTCTGCTATCCGTCATGGTTTGGCAGGGCCTGTGGGATAGAAATATGAATGAGGGAGAGACCGTTGGCCTGGAGAAGATGGCGAAGGACTTGGAACAGGCATCATTCAACTGGAGTTTTTGCAGGTTATCAGGTGGAAAAGGGAGAAGGTATTTTAGGTAGATAGAACAGAGATTGCAAAGTCAGGCCACGTGAAAACATTTGGTAAGTTGAGGGCACAGTTGGTGATTCTGAATGTTGAAGGGTAAGGCTGTAAGGTGCGCTAGGGTGCGCACTGATATAACAACCCAACCCACACTTCAGTGGGCTTCCTCTTTCGTGCCAGGTCCAATGCAGAAGTTCTTGCCCTGGTGACGCCACAGGGTGGCTCTCTTTCAGTGGGTGATTCTAGGACCCAGTTTAACTTAGTCTTGGGCTTCAAGGTCAGTCTGGTACATCTAGCCAGCAGACTGAGGGAAAAGAGGGAAGACCTCTCAGATGAAGTGTTACCTGTGAGCCCCACTGCTGTTCACTGGCCAGAGCTAATAACGTGGCATCTTATTCTGTTTTCTGTTGCTATAACAGAATGTCCCAAACATGATAATTTATCAGGAGTAGAAGTTTATTTTGGCTCGCAGTTCTGGAGGCTGGGAAATCAAGTAGCTGGCAAAAGCCGCTTCTCTCAGCCTTGACTCAACCCACAGCAGAGGAGAGAAGGGCAAGTGGGCACATATGGAGGAGACAAAACATGAGGGAAATCCTTGCTTAGTAACAACCTGCTCTTAGGTGATAAATCCAGTACTTCCAGGGCAGGAAGTCACTCATTACTTGAAGAATTAACCCAGTCTCATGACAAAGGCTTTAACCCATTTGGGGGGGGGGCTCTGCCCTCATGACCCCAACACCCTCACTTCTACCCTCCCAACACTGTTTCCCTGAGTGTCTCCAGAACTGTGAGCCAAAATAAGCCTGTACTCCTGATGAATTATCCTTTTCGGGGCATTCTGTTACAGGGAAAGCTCAGCGCAGGGATGTTAGGGGGCACATCCTTCCCTCTGACATGCTGGGAATGGGTAGCCATGGGCTTCGTAACCAAAATTGCTTCAAAACATGAACACAAAAGTTTGGAAATGAAACAGTTTGCATATAAAACAGTTTGAAATCAGCCCATAGATCTATTTGAAAAGTAAAACATTACTTTTAATATTTATTTCAATCTTTTTTTCTCAATAATGCTGACCATATTCCCTTGCATATTTTAGGCCATTTGAGCCTCTTGTGTGAACTGTGTGTCCACTTACATCGGCCATCAGATTCAGGGATTCTGTTTATTTAATGTTGATTTATAAAAGCTATATATTAAAAGATGTTATCAACTGTTTGGGGGGATTGTTTTTGGAGATAGGTTCTTGCTATGTAGCTCAGGCTGACCTTGAGCTCAACTTGTAGCCTAGGCTGGCCTTGAGTTCACAGCAATCCTCCTGTCTCAGCCTCCCAAGTGCTGGGATTGCAGGAATGCACTACCACACAAGGTAAATGCACTATATTTTAAAAGCAGATGTGACATATAAAGGAATAGTTACCTAAGTCACAGAAAAGCACATCACTCAAAACACCTTAACTCTCTGGGAGTTTATGTTGTCAATACACTGATTTCTATGCCTCATGTTTGAGAAACAAAAAGTCTCATGCAGTCCACTGCTGGGGATGGAGAAGATTCTCATGGTATTAAGGTTGTGTCTAGATGTTCCCTCCAAGCCTCAGGTGGTCTTATGTGCGGCTTTATGGAGGAGGCTGAATCTAGGATGTGTGACGCTGGGATCAAGGGTAAGATGCTGGGATTGATTCATGACGTGATGCTAAGATTAAGGCTGCCCCACCCTGAGTGTGAGTGCCCCCATCCTAAGGATGTGTAGCTTACATAGGATAGAAGAGACAGAAAGAGAGTCTGCTGTTGCTTGTTGCTTGCTGCTTCGCTGCTTTGCTGTCTCCTGCCTGCCACAAACTCTTTCTCCTCTGGGATGTTACCCTACCTTGGATCCAGCTGACTATGGACTGAAATCTCTACAAACTGTGAGCTAAGACACAGGGCAACACAAATAAAGAATAAGAGGAGAAGAATATGTGAACCTAGAAAACACACAGGCTGTGGTTGCTGCTGCATTACAGATTGGTGGGAATTGAAGATAAACTTCAACTAAAAATTGTGAGGAAGGGTCAATATCTATAGCTCAGTCCAGCAGGAATAACATCTGCATGGGAGAACCAGTTGGGTTTATTTTTCTTTCCAGCAAGAGGGAACACACACAAGGGGGACCACAGGTAGCTCATTAAGAAGAGGTTAGAGAGAACTAACGATAAGATCAGGCTGCGGTTGGGTGATTTGGGGGAGAGCTTTAAGGACCTGGGTCTCCACTGTAGACTGGATGCTGTCAGAAAATGAGGGTAATTGAACGATCCAGCATCTCAGGGAGGAGGGCCGACCAGAGCCCACATAAAGCTGCATTTTGGTAAGAAAGCAGCAGTCACTCATTTTAGGGAGATGGAGATGTACAGTATTTTGCAGGTTTCACAGTGCTTTTGCTTTTGGCCTACTTTACCATGATCTCAGGGTGACCTTGCTCAATGCTGTTGTTCTGTGAGATTGTTATGTCCAAAGAGACAATGTGTCATAGCTGGACCAGCTTCTGGGTGTCCACGGCTGCTTCATTATATTTCTTTCTTCTGCTCAGTATCTTTTTAAAATAGAAAATCAACAGGATAATCAGTGGGAGCTTTGTTGCGGGCTCTGAGAGAGCTGCAGGTGTCTCTGGGGTCCCAGGCATCCATTCTGGCTAACAAGTCGAATGAATGAGCCAGTAGCAGCACTCAGAATATAGGCAAAAGGATAAACTTACAGTCAGAGATATTAAGTTCAATTTTAACTACATCAAGCTGGAAGTAATCCTGCTATATTTTAATCTCATGACTTCAAAGCTGGCATTGTGTGCCTACAAAGCCAGAAAAAACATCAGGTTTTTTGAAAATAAAGATCATAAATATTAAAATACCTCCGGAAACATTTTGATAGCATCTGTCTAATGAGGAAATGTAGGGCATTTGTGCCTCAAGCTGTATTTTGTCCACCAGGGGCTATGACAGAGGCAGCATTCCCTGAGAATTATTTCTCAACCAACCCTCAGTTTTATAGCCAATTCCTTCTTTTTACTTCACAGTTCACAGTACGCATCCCCCTTAGCCCCACTACTTCTTCTTCCTGCCTTTCAAAATGGAAATAAGATTAGAATCTATTCCATTTTCCTAGCTCCCCATTCTGCTTGGGTTAGAATGGCCTCAAGTAATTTAAACAAAAGCGATGGTAATTCATCTTCCACCGTTCATCCAAACGCTGAGGGTCTGTTCTGGAATCACTGTTAGCTAGGGGCCAAGTCACACGTGGGCTTCCTTAAATAAACCCTGGAGACGTGGAGCTGCCCTAAAGGCTCAGCAGTCTCCTACCTGCTGTTGCTGCCGCTAATGTCACTCCCAAGATATGGGAGGTTAGGGAACTGGCAGGTAAGTGTGGTGCGGAATCCAGAAGTGGTCCTCAGGACAGGGCGCTGGGGCTGGCACGAGAGCCTGGGCAGCTGCCTGGGTGAGGACTTGCGCTGGCTGGATGAACGCTGCTCCGCAGGCTTCCTTGATAAAGTGCACTGGAAAATATATTGGTTATATTCCCGTATAGCTGCGCAATAGTGCTTAGCACTTGATCGGTGCTTATTAAATGTTTGAGCAGCACTGAGCTGCATTCCTTCCAAGAATGTGGAAGAATGAAGTCTTTCACCTCCGGTATGCATCTGATTCTCATCGGAGCCCTCACAGGGACTTTATCAGGATGTTCTTTTCCTCTTATTCAGGCGTAGGAGCACTGGGACCAGGATCCACCAACTTACAAGACATGGACCAGCTCCCAGGGGCAACCTACTTCAAACACAGAGTACTCGTCTCTGCATCTTTGGATTCATTTCAAGAATTTACTCACTTAGAATATTTAGACATAGAGCTTGCCTGTTTGAAGTGTCCTTCTGATTATGACCATGAACCCTGTCGGGGGTTCCTTGGTAAGAGACACACTTGGGGAAATTCACAAGTGCTGTGTAAGGAATATCAGAGCTACATCACTAGCATCCATTGCATCCATCCTTCACTCACTGAGTAGCTACTGGCAGCGAGTGGATATGAGCCCGCCCTTAGCTCCAGAGCAGGGGAGCGGGGTGACGAGCCGTTGGTTTGCATCAGTCAGTGAACTCTCATCGTCTGCTGAGGCATTTAGCTCAGGGATGCACAAAGCGACAAACACGAAATCCGAGGGACATGCTGGGTAAAAACGTGGTTACGTGCAAGAGTGCCACAGGGCACGTGCTGGCTGCCATGCTCTGCAGGGTGGGAACTGGCCCCCAGGGGGAGCCACTTCCAGGAAGGCAGATGTGAGTCTGGGTGACACCACCGAGCAGCTGAAGCACTG